CACAACAAACTACTCCTAAAACTAAAATCTTTTGGTATCTCTGGACACCTGCATAATTGGACAGAAGCATTCCTGTAAAACAAACAACAAATGGTCAAAATTGGGAGTGTCCTATCAAATTCTGTACTTGTCAACAGTGGTGTCTCCCAAGGCAGTGTTCTAGGGCCAACTCTTTTCATACTTTACATAAATGACCTCTGTGATCATATCAAGAGCAACTGCGTTCTCTTTGCTGATGATGTAAAGCTATTCAACACCACAGAGAATACTGCTACCCTTCAAAAAGACCTTGACTATGTATCAGAATGGTCAAACAAATGGCAACTTCAAATCTCAATGAATAAATGCTCTGTCTTACATATTGGCAGAAAATAAATCAGAAAATAAAATACAGGCTGAATACAGACCTTGTTGATGATCCAAACTCTGTCAAGGATCTTGGAGAACTCATCTTTAATGATCTAAGTGCTAGAGTCCACTGTAACTACATAGCCAAAAAGGCATTAAGAGTTATTAACCTAATCTTATGTAGCTTTTTCTCTGGTAATATCACTCTACTAACTAGAGCATACAAAACATTTGCTAGACCAATACTCGAATACAGCTCATCAGTCTGGAACCCACATTATGTATCTGATATTAACACAGCTGAGAAAACCCAGAAATATTTCACAAGAAGAGTTCTCCACTCCTCTACTTGTTGCAGAATACCTTGTGCACCAAACTCGATCTAAGTGCTAAAGCCCACTGTAACTACATAGCCAAAAAGGTATTAAGAGTTGTTAACCTAATCTTACATAGCTTTTTCTCTGGTAATATTACATACAAAACATTTGCTAGACCAATACTCGAGTACAGCTCATCAATCTGGAAACCACATTACGCATCTAGACCTAGAAAACCTAGAACTACACTGCCTTCGGTCTGATCTAAGTATAGTATATAAAATCATACATTGCAATGTCCTACCTGTCAATGAATACTTCAGCTTCAACACAAGAGCAAACAGTAGATACAAACTCAAAGTTAATCGCACCAAACTTGATTGCAGGAAATACGACTTCAGCAACAGAGTGGTCAGTGTCTGGAATACTCTACCTGACTCTGTGGTTTCTTCCCCAAACCCCAAAAACTTTAACCTTAGACTGTCTACTATTGACCTCATCCCTTTCCTAAGAGGTTTGTAGGGGGGGTGTATAAGTGCACCAACATGCCTACCATCCCTGTCCTATTGTTTCTTTTATATTTTTTTATTTTTCTTATATGTATCCATGTATTCATAACTATGCTTTTACTTTTACCTATTATCTTGTAAGCAATTGACAAAAATAAATAAATAAATGAAATAAAAATAAATAATGTACCAATTGAAAGCAGAATTTCGAGGCAGGTACATTCCACAAAGTAAACGTTTATTGGATACATCATATCGGCACAGCCAGTGAAAACCAACTCTGAAAGTTCCCGTGGTTTTCACCTAATTAAAAGAGTAAAACTTCCCCCCTCCCCAGTGTCATCAGTCACATTATCCAATGAATATACCTGGCAGGCTCCTCTCCTCCTTCACCACCCATCTGTTACAATGACCTTGGTTCCCACAGGAATCTTTTTTGTTTTGACTGTATGCTGGGCTATCTACTTCCCCCTCCCTTCCCAGGAGGCTGTGTGACAACTGTGAGGTAGGACAAAATGGCCTCAGCCAGCTTCATTTTAGAGTTGACACCCATATTTGAGAACTTCTGTGTTGTGTAAATCTAAAATAATTATTAAGTGACATATTTATTTCCTGTCCGACCACAACCATATTGAAATACAGTAATTCATTATATTCACATCATTTTCTTTATCATGTGAGGGGATAGTAGAAACACAAGATTCAAGAAGCTTTGCTTTAAACTATTATTTATTTTACTTTTATTAATTTTATATGAGGTACCTTGTGCAATTTTTATCTTACCTATGAATTTAGTAATTATTTCATCTCTTCAAATCATTATTAAAAATATGAGAGAGGATCTAGAACTAATTCTTGTAATCTTCCCCTCCTCCATTTGACTCTAATGAGTTTAATGAGAATAAATGAGTAACTATTTGGAATCCACTTAATTGGAATGCTATTTAGGTCATGTTAGTTAGTTTGCTTATCCTATGATTGGCTATTTTGTCAAATGCTTTGCTGAAATCAAACTATATTGCACCTAAAGCAACCCCTTAATCTACTAAGGAAGTTAACTAATAAAAAATGAGATTGTCTGTTAGGTTATAATATGTTCTTTTCAACTTCATAAAGGATATGTTCTTTTCAACTTCATAACAGTGTCTAACCATTATCTTACGTTGTTTGCAAGATGTTTAACTTTATGAAATGCTTGAGAACTTTCCCAGGTGTCAGTGTACAATCTTCTCAGTTATTTGTTAAACTGACAGTCAATAGTATCCTTTTTCCTCTTTCTGAACATTGAAACAACATTTGCCTTCCCTGGTCAACTGGCACTACACCAGTTCTTCATGATTTGTCAAAACTCCTTTGGAGATAGGAGGCAATTCATATGGTTTTAGAGGTGTAAAATATGTTTCTTTTAATCTCAATATTAAATCTGGCTCTTTCCTTCTTCCATTTATAATCTGCTCTGGGAATGTATGTCTTCTTGTTGAAGAAGATTCAAAGACAAAATAGGAATTGATCCACTTCAGTTTGTTTGTTTGTTTTGTTATCTGTTCTTACTGTACTATCTTTGGTGAGCAGTTAATATACTATAATCTTTTTCCTTTTTTTGAATAAATAAAGGCACCAACCTTGGCTTTAACTTTCTGACACCTTCTCTACAATCTTAGATTACCAATTTTCTTGGTGACAAGGCCTTATTTTCATTTATTGGATCAATGCCAAAGTAGAAAATGATTACAAATGATGGCTACAGAGAATTTTTTTACAGAGTACAATGGGATTTAATTGTATTTGAAAGCCTTATAATTTGCAAATGTTATTGCTTCTTGAATCAAAAAGCATCTTAAATTAATGTCACACTATAAATTAATGTAAATAAGCATCTGTTTGTTACTAGAATGTTAATAATTTGAGGGGTTTGTTTTAGATGTCTTTGCTATATATTCCAAATAAAATGGAAGTTTAACTTGACTGACTTTTTAAAAACCTCTAAAATCCATAGTGAATTGCTCTTTTCCAAAGAATTTTGAATGAATCATTCATCTCAAAGATCCGTTTCTATGCCTACTGATTAACTTGAACAGGGCATCTGGCTAAGTTTGATACCTGTTACATTTCATCTTATTTTATGTTTTAAAAATATATAGATAAAAGTCTTCTTCAAATCCAGCTTGACTCCAGGAAACTCCATGAATATGTTCATGTAATTTTCTTTAGAATAATATGGACGCAGCTTGTCAGGATGTGGTTTTTTTTCCCCAACTTCCCAATTTAGCCTAAAACTTGTAATCTATGTAGTCTTTCTTTTAAATATAAACCTTGTGCAACCCTAAATAGGTTCTGAGCCAAGTAGTCACCGGACACTATTAGTTGCTGACAAGTAATAGTTGAAGGTCAAAACTAAGTTGGTTATTCTTTGAAATAAAAAGAAAGATGGCAAAATAATGTTTTCTTGAGAAGTGAAATTGTGACATGTTTCTTTTGAAATGGAGGTGTATTTTGCTATGCATGGGTGGCATTTGACACAGAAAAACAAGATAGTGGAGGCTTTCATGTTTTACGATTTATAGTGAAACTACTTATAACAAGCATTTAAAACAGGTATATACAACACAGTCCTAGCGTTCCTCTGGTATCACATTTCCACTCACAGACTATCATTCGCCCTCCCCCGCTAGCTCTCCTGCTTTCTGTCCTTTTCTCTACATCTCTTTCCTCTGTTTCTGGGCTTCTTGAGAAAGAGTGAAAAGAAAGGAATGGGCTGGACTTAATTGTAATGTGCTCAGTGTGGCATGAACTTGCTCCTGGATCTGCTCAGCTGAATGCCTACTGCTTCTCTGTTTGTAGAAGAGAAAAACTTTTAGTTATCTTCTATCGGAAGAACCTCTCTCAGGTTCTTCTTCTATTCAGTCCTTCCCCCAGGATCAAGGCTTTGCCAATGACTGAGAAACTCCTCCTTCCCATCTTGGGACTGGCATGAAGATGTCTGCTCTCTGGGTCTTCATTTCCCTTCTTTCAGGAAAGTCACCTATAGACCTTTATTCTCCTTTTCTGACCAGAAAATGACAACTGCACTGCACACTCAAATAACTTTACTTTCCAATTTTTCTATTCATCCATCCATTTCCTATCTTTGTTGGCCCAAAAATACTTTCAAAAAGACAACAGGACTTTAAAAAAAATTCTTGAAAACATTTCACTTCTTATCCAAGAAGCTTCTTCAGAACTGAAGAAGTTTTTTGGATGAGAAGTAAAACATCTGCAAGCAAAATTTTAAAAAAGTCCTGTTGCCTTTTTGAAAACATTTTGGAGCAGCCATGACCTGGGTGACTAAGAACCTCATAGGCATTCCTGCCTTTATTATTTTTATAAATAAGGGGGCAAAAACATACCTAATACTCTCTCTTTCATTTTCTCCTATTCTTCTCTCATCCCCTCTTTCTTTCCAGTTTTGGTCAAACCAGTAGCATACCTCCTAGCAACCAAGGAAATGGCTGTCTTCCCAGGGCTCTAGTCCCCAATGCCTATATGCCAGGCTAGATCAATGGTATTGCTATCTCTGTAACTCCTCACATTGTGTCAGCACAGTTGCCATTCAAGGGCCAAAATTGAGCTGTTTTTCTCTTTCTCCAGTTCCATTTAATGACTCACAGCAGCAGAACAACAGTCAGACCTGGCCACTAAAAACCATATGCCACAGTTGCTTGTCAATATGTATGGTAGTATACTTTATGCAGCGGCTTTATTATTAGTAAAATATTTGGTATTGTTTTATACAAATAGCTTTCCGTACTAATCAAACATATGAAAATAACATGTACATTTTTTGCAGAGCTGAAACAGAAAGAGGGCTTTCAAGGAAACACATTATTGAAGGTAATGTGCTTATTTATTTATAGAAGTGTTTATAGGCTGCCCACTTCAAGGACTCAGGTTAGTTTGCGGGCAACTAAACAAAACAAGACTTCACCATTCCTATTCTGTATATAATAATGCTTTATATTTTATACTCAGTGAAATGCTACAACAATCAGTAACATTATTTTCGTACAGTAATCCAAATGAAGGACCAGGGCTGAGAAATAAATTTAAATGAAAGTTTAAAGCAGTTCTGAGGATGCACATTTCCCCTGGAATTCAGAAAGTTATGAGTTGCCTCTGGCTCCACATTTTCCAAAACTGCACTGTAGCACATTTCTTTTTCTGTGCAAAGTAGTAAACCATTCTAGAGATCCTATGTAGTGTAGTGATTACATTGTTGGACTCAGGTTTAAGTTCACCATTAGCTATGGAAACTCGTCAGATAATTTTGAACCAGTATCTAACTCAGCCACACCTACCATAAAGAAAGAATATTTCCATGTAAGTCTCCTTGAGCGTCTGGAGAAAAGGCAGGATATAAGCTGAGCAAGTAAACCAGCCAAATAAATCTGTGGCACTCATGTGAGATAACCAGGAACTGCTTTCGTACATGTTAAGATTAAACTTTCCATATATTAAGAGGAGTATCCAAGACACTTCTTTGTGTCTTACTATCATCATAAGAGAAGAAAGACAATGTCAATCAGGTCTAGATGGTTAGGCTGCAGTTCCCGTCATTCCCAATTCTAGCCAGTTTGAAGAAGGTAGTTTGAAGATCCTATCTTGATACCTGTTTTCTTTTCATGCACCACATTGAAGTTATATGTTTATTATGAAATCATTGTAATTAATATGTAATTCTAATTCTTCTATTTTGGGTATTCAATTTAGGGAAAGTCTTAATTTCTAACTGTGTGGAAAGATACTTTGGAGATTGGAAATATGCAAATAAATAAATCCTAAACCAAGACTGTGCCACATCACTGTGGCATGAACTTGATTAGATGTCCTTTTCTGCAACTGTTGAGTGCCAGCACCTGGATAGCTGCTAAAGTTAATGCACTGTATATAGTCATACAAAGGGCAAAGATCCCTATAGAACAGGGGGTCAAACTCACGTTCCCCAGGCCAGATGTGTCACACAGTGGCCACATCCTCCCCTGGTGTAGCAAAGGAGGGGAAGTCATGATACGCGATAACACGAGTTTGACAACCCTGCTATAGAATAAAATCTGGCAACTTATTGAAGAGTTCCAATATGTAAAAAAAAAAACCAGAAAACTTCCTGTTAGCTAGTGTAATTTAAAAAACAGGATGTATTTCTAAACCTTGCCTCTTGAGGATGTACTTTAAGGGGTTGACTGGCAAATGCTTGCATTCTTCAATCCAGTTTTCATTGTAATAAACAGACAGAATAAAGCCATGCAAAAAGAGAGACATTCTTCTCTTGTTTTGATTCATTTTATTAGGCAATGTAATTTCACCTATTTCCCGCTCTATCTTTGAGGAAGACTTAGATGGATGATGCTTCTGAGCTATTCAGTTTCTTGTCCTGTGTTTGGCTCTAATGATCTCCTGTTTCATTTCTAGGATTAAAAGCCTCTCTCCAGAGACTGCAGCTTGAATATGTGGATGTGGTCTTTGCAAATCGACCAGATGGTAATACTCCAATGGAAGGTTAGCAATAAATGTAATAAAAACATTTTGCTTGATTGATCTTGGCTCATAGATCTATGCTGCTTATGACAGAATAGAAAAATGGTTATCCTCAAATGTGCAGGAAAATTATATAAGTCTTGATTCTTTGAGGTCTTCAATAGTTTTATTAGGAGACCTGTACTTAGAGTAATGGATGTATATTTATGTAGCCCACTTAGTACTTAACTACTTAATTCTAAGTATTGCTAGAGCAGTTTTCAACATCTTTTGTTTGCACAGCATAAATGCTTCCTTTTCTTGAGTTATTTGTATTTTAATTGACTCGGAGTTTCAAGTTGATACTGTAATTTCTGTGCAGCTCTAGTCAGAGATGGCTGACTAGAGATGGCTGACTAGATCCATAATTAAATCATACAAATTTACATAATTGACATGTTCCATTTTATTTACAGTATTTATTTAAGAAATAGATGATCGCCCATCTTAACTAATATGCTTTGAGTGGTGAACAAGAACATAAAAATACAATGAACAGACAAAAACTAATTAAAAGCAGCATACAAAAGCCAAGAGAACTGTTTGAGTTTCTTTAAACTCAAGGCCAGTGCATCATCAATGAAACATAAATTGGGTTATTAGTTGGTGTTGGCGGCAAAAGCAAGTCTAAATAGGGCAGGTTAGCCAACCCTCTTTATAGAGTTAATTTGATTGTGATTCATTGATCAGGTTATCAAGTTAATGTGCATGGCTTTAAAGTGAAGTAGCAAATGGATGCAGTGTCATTCTTAAGTTAGAACAAAGAGTCAGAGAAAGCATATCAAAAGTAGCTTCATTCCTCTCTAGCTGGTCTATTAAAGCCTTAAAACCATGCTAATTGTCAGTTCCTCCTTGTTCTAGTTAGCATTCTTGCAGTTAGCACTTTCACATCTCATTACTGCAACATTTTTCACACCTGAGTGTTCCTAGCGCCTAATTGATTATGGCTGAGCCAATGCTTAATTTTCCCAATGTGAAAATGTACGTGTATAAAGGGCTTTTCAGCTTAAGTCCAAGAATGGATATTACAGAGCTTGTCGTACCACTGATTCATTCCTCCTCCACTAACTGCACTAACTGCTAATAAATATAAAATATATGATATATTATATAGTTGCTGCACTTCTATTTCCAGATACCAAATTAAAGACCTCCAATTAAGAAGACTAATTCTGTGGGAGGTTCTATATGATGCAGCTCATGATAGCTACTAAATGTTGTGCAGGTACTTTTCAGAACAAATGTGGTAGACAAAGCCAACCTCCCCTGCCGTCGCTGCCCTCCCCCCAATACACACATTTATATCCTCTGGGGTCATTTCATCACATTGCTGACCTTGCCTTCTGAAGTCTTTGAACATTGGAAGAGAGATTTTACAGAGGTTACCCGGTGCTGCTCAGTGTCATGACTTTATATATGATGGAAATCATGACATGAATTGACAGTGATAACCTTTTAAAAAAATCTAATTGTCCTTGCTCTCAAATATATACTTGAAACATAGTTCTTTCAGGCAAGCGTTAATAGCTAGGAAGTCAGTTAAACATTCAGTTCCATGTCTAAGGATAGTTCACTGTTGTTCATCAATAATGACGTGTATTTGCTGGCAGCTATTGGAAGAGAGATGATGGCTTGGGTTTACCCATCATCGTTTTTCTTGGTCATTGTACCATTATGAAAAATAACAGAGGCTCCCAGTGTAATAGGTAATGCTGTATTTTTTGTTGTCTTACCTTGGTGCACATAGAACTCAAGTGCTGATTGATTATATTTATTTTCAGTAAATATTCCTCTGACTAAAATATTATTCATGATAAAGAATGCAATTATCAGACCTTAGCAAAAGCAAATGCTAATTGCACTGCTTTTTGCTGTCAACCTTTTGCAAAGCCTTCCTTATTCCTGCAATAGTGCTTTGCCAATAATGCTGTGATTTCATGTATGACTTCCAAAAACAATGGGAATTATTTATTTTCCTGGGCTGCTTTGTGTATCATCGTTTGTTTCTTAGACATTATTTTTGTTAAAAAATACTGCTTTGACCACAGAATTCAATTAGTGGCATTATTTTTTTCTGCACCAAATATCCAAATTAGGCATATTAGTTTCTTAACGTGTAAATTATCTGTGGTGCATTATTATTTTTTAATATGAAAATATAAAGTACAATCATCCCTTTTGTACAAATTAAAACAGACACCAGTAGCATTTCTTAAATGGTTTGATGTGATGTTTCCTGACATTGCCCTGTGGTGATGAGGTTGAGAGCCTTTACTGGAGTTGGGAAGAACACTGCAAATTTGTTAGCGGATAATGAGCTTAACAGGTTTTGTGACTTGGAGCAAAATATAACCTTTTTGTTCAACCAGTTATAATGAAGGGGGGAGAAATACAATAGGGCTGCAATCCTGCACGTAGTCAGGCTGCTTGAAATCCCATACCAAAGATAAGAGTAATTATATTCAGTGGCATTTGAACTACCTGTTCTTGCACAGAAATGTATTCATGACAATCATAACTGAATGTGCACAGTTCATTCTAATGGTGTTTATATGAACATCACTTACAGAGACAGTTTCAGAATTATTGTTCCTTTTTAGTTGCTTGCAGTTGAATAAGAATTACGGGGATGGCCCAGCGATCATCCAACTCAAGTCTTGCTCACTAGTAACAATACAAATAATTGCTGGCATGGCTGCCCTCTCTGCTGTTGTGCATTTGGCTAAATTTCAGGCCCATCTGTTTGCAGCAGTGTTAATCTCTTACAGTTGTTAAACTGTATCTTCTCCCTGTTTAGTATCCCTAGATTACTTTTGTGTATTTATGAAGACTTGTATTTTGGGATTATCTGCACTGTACTAATTCCCCTCTGCACAGACAGCCCTCAAGTATTGCTTAATTGGGAAGCAGTGGAAAAAGTAGAACAGGCCAGATTGAAAACTGCAAGATAATTCACGTATGGCACTCAGTCCAAGCAACGATTAACAGGGGTACAGAATTCTATTCATGTCTATAGATGTATTGAAAGACATAAATAAGGATTCAACATTAGCCCCTTAGCTCAGCACCCAACAACATCCTCCCATCGCCCAGCAATCTATAATCTTCAACAGCTGCATATACTATCTCCATATCAGCCTAGTAACCAAACCACATCTGGATTTTAGCAATCACAATAAAAACAAACATATAATCCATCAAAAATATTTGCACTCAAATAAATGCAAAATAGATAAGATAGCCGGTAGAAGAGAGAATAGCTAACCAACAGTGCTCATTTCATCCCAACTCCAGCACTCAATTCCAATATTATCTAGTGAGGAAATAAAATGTCTGTCACCCGGATATAAGCTCGGAGAACTTCAATATAAAATGTGCTTGGGTTTCTTCCTTTCTATTGCATCACGTATTCAAGATAGTCTAACATGAATTATTTGTGGGATTACTTTTTGTTATTCTTCTTACACTTTTAGAGTACAAGGGCAAAGTTGGATTTCCTAAGAAATGTTTTGTTGTTTTGTTTTGTTTTGTTTTGTTTTGTTTTGTTTTGTTTTGTTTTGCTTTGCTTTGCTTTGTTTGGCATAGAACAGTGTTCTCTTTATATACATACAAGGTAGAATATCAAAAGAACATAAAAATGCTATTTAACATATTACCCCAAAAATGACATAGGACTTAGATTAGGTTAAAATAATTATATGATCATTCATATGCACAAATGAAAAACAGTTTGTAATTCAATTTGCAATGTAGCACATCTCACCACAGTGAGGGAAATGAAAATGGATGGCCTATGGGTATTCTATTATTCAGGGGATACGTTTTGATGAGCAACTTTAGCCTTTGCAATGAAAAAAATTCCTCAATTTTTAACATTGCATCAATTATGCATCATCATCATAAAGTAAGAGAATAGGGATTTTCTGTTTCTCACCTGCTTCTGAAAAAATGAATTGTCTGCAATTCAGATCCTGGCATATAAAGCACGATTTAGATAGTTCTGATTTAATTCATAGCATGATTTAATTCATAGTATTTAAATTCTGCAAACATAAGAAACACTTTTGTATATGAATCATGCACATTTGCATGATTATATATGCAGGGTTATCCATAACTAAAGGTAAAAGTTCTCCTCGCACATACGTGCTAGTCATTTCCAGTTCTAGGGAGCAGTGCTCATCTCCGTTACAGCCAAAGACATCTCCATGGTCATGTGGCCGGCATGACTAAATGCCAAAGGTGCATGGAACTCTGTTATCTTCCCACCAAAGTGGTCCCTATTTTTCTACTTGCATTTTTACTTACATGCTTTCGAACTGCTAGGTTGGCAGAAGCTGGGACAAGTAATGGAGCTCACTCCATTACGCAGTGATAGGGATACAAACTGCCGAACTGCCAACCTTTCTGATCAACAAGCTCAGCGCCTTAGCCACTGAGCCACTGTGTCCTTATTTATCCATAACTACAAATATGCAAATAATGCAGAGAAATTAATGGTAACAACTGGTCAACTTTGCTTTAATTTTGAAAAAGTTAAGCAAGACTGAACACTGTGATAGCATGGAAGTGTAATCACAAAAATATCCCAGATCACAGACTAGAGAAACATTGAAAAAACATTCTGAAGATGGCAATGGAAAACTACTGTCATATTATTATTAATATGGAATGGCAGAGCTTCCTCCATCTTTCTTAAGAGCAACAAACAAGGGGGAGTGGGGAAGTCAGGATAAAGCTTTGTGAAAAAGAAGCTTCACTAAGAAGAAGGAAAGAAAAGAGAAAGAACAAAGTGTGGAAATGTCCTAGAGATGTCCTGCTTTTAAGCATCCTCAAAAAAAGAATTCCCAACAACGGCTACCGGTTTTGGCTCTGTGATGTTTGATTAGTTTTCAAAACCGTCCATATTCTTTGGTGGCCCTTTGACCTTCTGCACATCAGTATCTTCTTTTTAACAAATGTAAGGGGATTTCCTCAATCCA